TGCTGAGAAGCCAAACTTCTTCAGTACAAGCCATGGCTGACAACATTGCGGTCTTCTCACTAGCCAAATTGGTCTTGGTGTAGTGCCTCCAGGCATGGTTCCATTCCTCCTCTCCTCCATTGGCCACTCCATAGCAGTACACTATGGAATTCACATTTGGGCTTATGCTAGAAGATAACAAGTTTCAATATTAATCAATAAGCTACTTTCTGTGCTTTTTTTTGTGTGCTGCAGTTGGTAAATAGTCACATATTCAAGAACACAAGAAAAAAAAACCTGGAAGTTGGGCTACCAGATGAACAGCATTTTATGCATGTTTTAGCAAAACTCAAGTTGAGAATCAGCAGGAGTTGCATAAAAATGTGAAAAATTGGGGCATACAACAGTGGATGCCCCAGCATTTGGACAATGTCCCAAAGTATAGATATTTTCCGAAAGTCCCAGAAAACATTCATACAATGAGGCCCCCACATGCAGACACCTAGACATGCATATCATTTGAAATAGGGAAATCTATTTTCCAATAAAAAAGGAATAAAAAGCCCTGACATGCAGACACTGACTTGACATTCAGACATTGCATGATAAAATTGCCAATAAGTTCCAGTAAAAAGTACTTTCATCAGGCTGAATTGTAAGAAATAGATATTTCCAACCATAAGATCTATGCAAGAAAAGTTCTTTGATATTTCCCCCATCCATTCAGCTAATTTAAAAAATTTCCTCCAGCATAGAGGGGCTTGTTTCTCCCTTTGTGACTTGAATGTCATTTTTACAGTTGTTGCCAACCGTTCAATGTACTGTACAGAGGTACAGTATTCAATGCTCCAAATGCTCTTATTGACTTGAAAGATATTGATTAAATCAATTTCCATTAGCATACAACTTTTTCATGGAATTCATGAATATTTCTTCCATAAAACACAAATTAAAATTATCTAATGTAAGTCTACGGGAAAACAAAACTCAACTTAGGGACACTCTTGAATCTTGATGCACCAATTATGTCTTCATCTTGGGGTCTCACTTTCAAAATTGCAATATCTTTTTAAAACAAAAAAAATTGAGCCATTGATGTATATAGGCAGCAAATTGAAATAAATCTCTTTATAAATTTACTCTAATTTATTTTTCAAGAGACTGATGCTGTTAATATATTTTTTGAGTTTTTCATGAACTGTGTGACTGTGAAGCAGTATTTGTGCTTTTTTGTCTTTGAAACTCCTGTACACATATGTTCAAAATTGTGAATTCTGATGAAGTTTGAAAATAAATGTGTACTTTAGAAGAGTAAAGTGTCATACGTGGCATTGTCTGGCGAGGCTTCATCATAGTTGGTCATCCACTCTTTGTATTGAGCACTGGCGTCACTTTTGCACTTGTCAACACCATATTTGCATGCTCTCTCTTGAATGAGAACATCCTTGAACAGCTGTGTCACATCCTGAGTGTACTCTGGCTTGATATCTTCCAAGTTTTCAAATTCCACTAGTGTCCCATTCAGCAATGTCTTCATGTACTCCTGCATTGCAAAAACATTTTTGTAAAAAATGAATGTTCAAAAGCATCTAAGAACAGAGAGAAACTTTTTTATTAAAAAAATTATGTCATCTTCCACCTTTTTTTTTTTAGTTAAAAACAAATCATTGCCTTAAGATTATTCCTCATTTTTATTGTCACTCTGTGCAAATCCTTGATTGAATGTCACATAAAATTTTGTCTCCTAATCCATGACAAAGAACTGATTTTAAGATATTCAGTTTTATTGCAATATATGGCCCTGTCTGCAAAGGTATACTTGTTTTATTTTTTCAGTTTCTATTTTTTTAGCTGATTTCAGAAGGGCTCTAAACTTATTGGTCTACCTCTAAATATTTTCAAAAATATCCACAGTGATAGAACAAATAAGTCCTTGCTGAAGATGTGAATGAAGCAAATATCATTCTGATTGTTGTACAGTATATCTCTGTTGAAAACCACATTTTAAAACCCGAAGCCTACATCAATTATTTAAAAATTTGCACAACCTCCTCAACTCTCAAAATTCGTGAAATATCATCAAGCAATAATGAAATTTACTGAAAAAAAGCAAAAATAAACATGAGTGAAGTTGTGCTATTTGACAATTAAACTCATCCCACATTCAAATGGAAGTGAGCTTGTTTGAATATGTAAATCTTCACATAATCATATACATAGAATGTCTATTGATTTTATTGGATACTAACCCTGAAATATCCATAGCCAGCACTGCGTTCCAACATTTTGTCAATATAGGCCAGAGCATTGGCAGTTGCCCTCCATGGAATGAACTCTTGTTCTTTGGCAAGATATT